TTTTCAAAACTTTTTGAGCAATCGCTATCCTCATTTCAGCATTTTCAAAAAAACAAATTTCGAGTAAAAAGCATTTTAAAGTATGACATCGAGTAAAAAGCATTTTAAAGTATGACATCTTTCTTAAAGTAATGGCATCTGCTTTTACTAAAACACTTGTGGTTTTTGTTCTAGTGAACGGAAAATAATAAACTTGTTTTTTTATATACCTAATAAGATGGCCTATAAAATAAAATAAAATAGTCATTTTTTGGCAAAATTCTCAATTTTAGAATAGTCGGATACCTTAATTATTCTTAACCCGCTTGGAATGACACATTTATTGTACGAATCATCGAAAAAGAAAAAACTTCTGAAAGTACTTCTGAAAAGGAATTACAAATTCAAGTATTTCAATGCCCAGTGCACTGCGATTTGTATCAAGCAGCTCACAACTCGTTGATATTCGCAGTTTGGGGGATAATCAGATTGAAAATATTTACAGAACAACGCAGGGTCTATTGGCAACAGTCCTTATAATCCTCACTCTCTATACTTGCATAACGAAACGTACAAAGTGTTTGAAATAGGAATTCTGTTTGATGTGCCGCAATCTTCTCTTTGAAGACCTCAGTGGAATCACGCGAACACGTGACCAAAACGAAAGGCACAATACCCTAGTGAGAAAAAGGATTGTTTCAGGAAAAGGCTTCTCTGTGTGTATTGACGAGAACCCTGCATCAAAAAGCCTCTGGACTTCTTCTAAAGGGAAGAAATTGGATTACATTCTCTTCTCTCCCACAGGAGTAAAGGAAAGCACCAAAAGGGAATTCAAAGATTCTGCAGCGGATCTTAATTTAGAGCAGCGCTTCTCAAACTTTCGATTCTTACGACCCAATTTTCAGTCATAATTTCCATCGCTCCCTCCATACAATAACAATGCACTGAATTCAATAACACTATGCTTTGATGCTAAATCTACAATGCGACTTTAACCTCTTAAGTCCCACCGACGTATACAAACGTTTTGGTCAGCCAATGCATTAATTGTTCCGGACGTATATCTACGTCTTTCCGAAGTACGATCTTTTCTGTGAACTGCTATCCATAAGAGTTTTCCGAAAGCTTTGTAATGCGATAAAATTACCTTGGCAGTGTTTGTGAAGGATTTACTTATTTCAGAGAATTTGCTTTTTTATTCCTTTTGCCCCCCTCCACCCATTACATCCCATACGCGATGAAAAAACAGGGCATTGGGGAGGGAATCACTCGGCAGTTAAGTGATTCATTATAAACCGTATAAATTATCAAGATAAGTGTTGATTTTTGTATGTAATTGTATGTATGACAAGCCCATGGGGGGGTCGCTGGTAATTATTAAACTTGCTCTTAACTTGGTATTGATCAATTAGTTATAAAATATATTGTGAAGCACTGATACATTTATAAGTGTATTACATTAGTATAAATGTGTATTTTATTTTTTTATTATGTCAGAGTGTATTTTGTTTGTTTACATTCAGTAAGTTTTTAGTATTATTTAGTAATTCAGTATTTTTTAAAATAATCTTTTGTTTTCAATTTTTTAATATGCTCGTGCCCCCCTTGTAGAGTTATCACGCCCCCCCCCTAGGGGATGCGCCCGACAGTTTGAGGAACGCTGCTTTCGAGAGAAGAGAAGCCGAGTGATCTTAAAAACAAGTTTGTAGCAAATGGTAATATTTATTATTTATTTATTGTAATGATTTAACCATTCATCCCAGCGTGCTAAGGGGATGAATACGATTCAATTGACGAAAATCGAAAAAAAAATTTTTTTTGCCTTAATTATTCCTTATACACTTCTCTATTATCTCACAAAATTTCAGAGCTCTAAATAAAAAAAAAGGCGAAGCTATGATAGCTAATATGCTCGTCAGAATTCACATTCTGACATCATTCTGCTCTAGCAGACGCACTATTTATTTTCTAGACAAATTAATTAATTCTAATTTCACAGTTAAGCAGTTTTGATATAAAGTGAAGAGATTGTAATCCATTCTTAATGTTTGTTTACATTCATTGAGCTATACAGCGTTCTTTATTCTGCTAATTTTTATTTCATATTTTTGAAATATTTAGTTTCGGTTTACCAAAAAAAAGTCTTTTTCAAGACTAATTATTTTATCGTTATCAGTTTAACAGTTTTTTTATACATATAAACGTATTCTAATACAGCATTTTTAATAGTGAAACATGCCTCGTACGAAGAGGAAAAACAAATCAAGTAAATTGAGTATTCAAAAGCGATGGTGCACTGAAACAAAAACTGAAAACAATATGGATATTTCAGAGCACAATTCAAATGTAGCTCAACTCTCAAGTGGTGATAGCATTTTTAAAAATGAAAGAGTTTCTATGCAAGAAAAAAGTGTACTAGAACAAGAAAATGTTGCTGATACCTATCATGGACCAAGTTACATAATTGTTGACAAAAATGCCTTGTGTGATATTTTCAAGTATACTTTTTGTGGTGGCTGCAACCAGTCAACTTTAAAACTTGAATTTGGACATAAATATGGATTTTCTTATCAATTGAAACTGGTATGCAAAACATGTTCTCAGCAAAAAATGGAATGCTGTACATCTCCAAGACTTGAAAAAAATCAAATACTTCTACACCTTTCGATGTGAATGTTCGTGCTGTTCAAGCATTTCTTGCAATCAGTGGGGGCCATGCATCGGTTGAAAAATTTTGCATGTTTCTCAATTCAAGTAAAACTTTTAATGAAATTAAATGTTACATCAACTCAGCCTACTCTCTTGCTTCCCCAACTGTGTTGAACTCTGTACAGAACAGCGTTCAAAATGCAGACAGAAAACTGGATCAAAATGGGTCAAATACTATTACTGATATTGCTGCTTCATTTGATGGGACAGGGTTGACCCGAGGACACACATCCCAAATCGGTATTGGGTGTGTAGTTGACACTTTAACAGGATATGTTATTGACTATGAAATTATGAGCAAGTACTGTCCAACATGTATAAGTGCGAAAAATGAATTAGGCAAAACTACAGCTGAATACGATGTTTGGTATTCTGGCCAGCAAATTCCTGCCATCTTAACTACGTTGGGACATCAGGAGCAATGGAAATGAAGGCTGCAGCTAAAATTTGGTCTCGATCAGAAGCATGTGGTTTCCGTTACACAACATTGTTATCTGATGGTGATGCTAAAACTCATAAATTTTTAAATAGCCTAAAATATATGGACCAGACGTTGAAATTTTGAAAGAGGAGTGTATTAATCACGTAAGCAAAAGGTTAGGCACCAGCTTACGCAATCTTGTGAAAGATTGGAGAGCTAAAGGTATCACTTTAGAGGAAAATCTTATGGCAGTCTAAAAAGAAACAACGATAAAAAAACTAACGCAGTACTATCAGAAAAGCTATTCTGGAAAATAAAGGAGATATTCAGGGCATGAAAAAATCCATATATGCCACGCTTTATCACAGTATCTCGACAGATAAAAATCCAATGCATATGAAATGCCCTCCTGGCAAAGATTCGTGGTGTTTTTATCGAAGAGCCTTAGCTAAAGGTGAAAAACCTGCACCACATAAATTTAATATTGGAACACCAATAAATCCAGATTATTTGACAAAAATTGTTCCAATATATCAAAGGTTAGCTTCTGATAGTCTTTTGAAAGGATGTGCCAGATGTCTGACTCAGAACAGCAACGAGAGTTTGCATAGCGTGATTTGGAGTAAGTGCTCTAAGGAAACTTCAGCGAAATCTCGACGTGTAAATATAGCTGTTTCTGAGGCAGTATCAGAGTATAACTTTGGTACTTTAAAAGCCTTAAAAAATACAAAAGGCAGTTAATTTGGATCTTGGTGAAGAAGCAGTAAAAATTGCTGCCACACGTGATTACAAACGTAAAAAAGAAAGAAATTGTCAAAGTAATCTTGCTTTTCGCATAGCACGTCGAAAAGTAAAACTACTCAATATGCGAAAAGAAAAATATTCAAAGAAAAAAAGAAGATATTACATATAGTCCTGGGTTTTTTAAACATAAATGTAAAAAAAATTATGAAGATGTTAGCTAGAATTATTTTAAAATCATCGTGAAATGGGTTCGTATGTTATTTATCGCAATTTTTGAAAATGTAAGGTACTAAAAATTTAAATTTTAAACATATAAAATTATAATTTTTAGATAATAACTTTATAAAACTTTTATCATGTGCTTGTAGTACATACAGTAATTTTTTAGTAATTTTATTGCACTTATATATATCTTTTTACAGTAAATAAAAACTTTAAGTTGATTTATCTCGGAACAAAAAAAATCGTTTGTTTTATTTCATTTAAAATGCTAAGGCTTTTCTTCTATTGCATGAAATGTTTTGTATTTTTTTATAGATTGCTATTAATGTACATAACAAAAGTTGGTATGCATTTTTGAATCAAAGCAATACTTATTTTTATAAAATATTTGAACTTAGAATTTATACGTTTTTTAGGGATTTTTTCATAATAATTCATAAAATTTTTTTTTTAGGAATTTTAATCATGTTATCCCCAAACCCATACCAACTTTTATTGAACATGGTTTGACAAATATGTATAAATCAAGTTTCCTGTGTGTACGTCAATTATTGTACGAAGAGTAGCGTTTTAAAATTGCCTCATAAATTAAAATTTTTTAAAAAAATTTAATGGATTGCTTTTTGTGATATTTTGAGTAAATATTCTGTCTTACGTATTGCATATACATATGTTACAAGGAAAAAACTCTAAAAACCATAAATCAAAGATTTTTGTTTAAATTGTACCTCCTTAAAAATTGTAATTCTTTATTTCTCTCGTGATTTTATTTTATTGCGTTTGTATTTATAAAAGTTAACTGTAATTAGAATTATGGACCTTTCGATGGCAATATATAAGGAGAGAAAATATTCAGTTTGAAAATAAAGTCTTGAGTTGTATGTGGCAAGAGTTGTTGACATTTTTATTTTCGTGTTAAAACTGGCGCCCAACGTGGGGCCCGAACCCACGATCCCGAGATTAAGAGTCTCGTTCTCTACCGACTAACCTAGCCGGGCTCACCGGTTTCTCACCTTATTCGAACGGCAAATGAAGCTATTAGAGCTTGGGGAAGATCTGTGGGTACCCTATCTCATTGGTGCCCTACCTAGAGATGTAAACTCCCTCATTGCCCGTGAGCCTGAGGAGAAATGCAGGGATTACTCCCACATTCGAGTAATGCTTCTGCAACGGTTCAAATTAACCGCAGAAAAATTCCGGGAGCTGTTTTCACGTCACAAAAAAGCCGAAATGGGACGTGGAAAGATTATTATTTTGAAATCCGAGCATATTTTGAAGGTTGGCTCAATGAGCTTAAAATTGATTCATTTGACGGATTGAAGAATTTGATGATTGCCGATCAAATGAAAAAGAGATGCTCTCCAGAGTGTAAGGAACATTACCTGGATATCTGGGAAGAACTTATCTCCCCAGAAATGTTAGCAGATAAGCTAGAAGCTTTTGACAACATCCCACGTTCCCTACCCAGTGGACCAAGGAGACACGTGAAGGCAAGTGAAACCGTAAATGTTGGAAGACAGGTATCATTCAAGAAACCTGAATGCCCTCCCAAAAGAGAATATTCCCATCTGGTACCAAATGAGAGATCCCCTCGCAGATGCTATGGCTGTAGGAAGCAAGGAGTGATAAAATCTAGGGGCCCCACCTGCAACCTCAACGCCTCACAAAGAACAGACGTAGCAATCAATCACATCAATGCTTACACAGCTCAGACTAGAAGCCCTCTATTGACCCTAATCGACATAACTTTCTGTGGAATAAAGGGACATGTATGTGCAGACACAGGATCTTCACATTCAATTGCTGGGGAAAGGATGTTCCAGATATTTAAGGATATAAGGGACTCCTTTTCCAGGAAACCACATTAGCAATGAGCTTAGAAGATGGTCAAAAGACCACAGGTGAGGCCCTCACAACCCAAGTAATGGTAGAAATTGAGGGGAGATCAGTCTTGACCAAATTCATAATTCTCCCAAAGGCAAAGGGAAATAGAACACTGCTAGGAACAGATTTCCTTAGTTCTGCTGGTTTGATTCTAGATGTGAAGAATACTTGTTGGTACTTCTGGGACAATCCTTCCCACAAGTATCCATTTGGTGAAGAATTGGACACCCCGTCCATAGCTGAGAAGATGTCCAGCAACATCTGCCAATTAAAAGAAGGGGAAGGTGAAAGTTTGACCTCTGCCCAGAAGGAGAAACTTAACCTCCTGTTGGGATCCTTCCAAAAGGTCTTCGAACCAGGGGGAGAAGCAACAAATATCTTGGAGCACCACATTAACACGGGAAATAGTCCTATCTCTGTACACCCATACAGAATGTCTCCCTGTAAAGAAGGAAATATTGAGAAAGGAAATTGAGGACTTTCTCGAAAAAGATATAATTGAAGAATATGAATCTCCTTACGGAGCCCCTGTTGTACCGATTCCAAAGCCAAACAACCAGTTTCACCTGTGTATCGACTACCGGAAGTTGAATGAAGTCACGGTCCCTGATACTTACCCACTTCCACGAATGGATGATTTACTGCAGGAGGTAAAACATACTGCATACATCTCCACAATTGATTTAAAGTCTGGGGACCACCAAGTGAATGTTAATCCTGCTGATAGGGACAAAACCACTTTTGTTTGTCTATTTGGAGCCTACCGGTTCAAAAGGATGCCCTTCGGACTTAAGAATGCACCCGCAACATTTCAGAGACTGATGGATATTTTCCGAAGAGGGTTACATGTACTTGCATACCTAGATGACATTATAATTATGTCGCCTACATTCGAACAGCATCTAGCAGACTTAGAGGCCGTGTTTAAGCACTTGATGGCTTTCAAGTTACGAGCAAACAGGGAGAAGAGTGCCAATTGTCCTACTCACGTGTTAAATACCTGGGCCTATGGATTACACCCCAAGGAATAGAAGTCGACTTCAGCTATTTTAGGGATTTCACCTCCTAAAAATGTGAAACTGCAGTCCTTCCTGCAAACCGGCTCATGGTACCGAAAATTCATAGCCAATTTTTCTGAGATTGCCCGACACTTGAGAAACCTAGCTAAGAAAAAGGCTTCCTGGAAATGGTCAGAGGAAGAGGAGAAAGCATTTCAGACCTTGAAGCAATGTTTGGTATCTCCACCAATTTTGAAGCAAGCAGACTTCTCTAAACCTTTCCTGATAAGAACTGATGCCAGTAACTGTGCTCTAGGAGCAGAGTCCTCCTACAAGGAGAAGACAAAGAAGAACATCCAGTTGAATTTGCTAGCAGGTTGTTAAACCCAGCTCAAAGAAACTACTCGACCACCGAACGAGAAGATCTAGCTGTGGTTTGGGCCCTCAACAAGTTTAGGGGCTACATTGATGGGGCAAGCATCACTGTAGCATCTGACCACCAACCCTTAAGGTGGCTCATGAAACTGAAATCTCCTACTGGAAGACTAGCCCGTTGGGTTCTGCAATTGCAATCTTTCAACCTCAACATGGAGTACATCCCCGGAAAGAGTAATGTGGTTGCAGATATGCTATCTCGTCCTGCGTGTCATGAAGAAAATGAACTGTGTGAGGTCTGCACTGTAGCCATTGATGTCCCATCCAGGTCTCCCAAGTAGATACGTGATGAACAAATGAAGGATGAGGAACTGGTCAAAATTATTTCTTGCTTTAAAGATCCTGACAAGAATGTAAATTATGTCAATTGGGTCGAACGAGGTTATTTAATGAATCAGGATGTCCTATTCAGATATGCTCCAGACTCTGAGAGTGAAGAGGCCCAGTTAGTGGAACCTAGCCATGAAAGAACTTTGATCCTGAAAAACCATCATGATGCCCCAATGGCTGGTCATTATGGCGCCGAAGGCACCTATACTCGAATAGCAAAGAACTATTATTAGACGTATGAGGAAATACATAACTGATTATGTAAAGAACTCACCTGACTGCATTAAATACAAAGCTTCAAATCAGAAGCCTTCCGGGCTATTACAGACACCTGTGCCAGCCCAACGTTTTGAAGCCTTGGCCATTGATCTCTTCGTGCCCCTACCGGAGAGTAAAGATGGTAAAAGATGGATCCTCATCATTGGGGATTGTACCACCAAGTCGTTCGAACTGTTTGCACTACCCAATGCCCCAGCTAAAGAATGTGCCATTACCTTGATTGAAGAGGTTCTACTGAGGTTTGGCATTCCTCGCCGCTTTATCAGGGACAATGGGACCCAGTTTGTGTCAGCAGTGATGCAACAAATATGCTACCTATTAAAAATCCACCAATCCGTGATCCCTGTCTACCATACACAAGCTAACGCATTTGAACGAAAGAATAGGGATCTGAAACTCTACGGCTGGCAATTCTCGTCCAAGACAAGCATGACTGTTGGTCAGAAAAGCTACCCTTCCTCCGCTTTGCTCACAACACAGCCAAATGCGAAACGACAGGACAGACGGCAGCCTTTCTAAATTTTGGTAGAGAGTTACGCTCTCCAAGTGAAGTTCTTAATGATATCCGAGTCGTCATCCAGAACGATAATTTTGTGCCAGAGATAACTCCCCATCTCAAGAAATTCGCAAAGTTTTCCACTCAGATTAGAGAAGTGGTTGAAGAGCAACAGGATAGTAGGAAGTTTTACGCTGATAAAAAGAGAAAATCTGCTCCGACATATCAACATGGAGAACATGTCTTTGTAGCATCACATCCTCTGAACAACGCTCCGCAAGGAAGAAGTGCAAAACTAATGCCACGCAGAAACGGTCCCTACGTGATTTTAACACAAAGATCACCATCATCTTACGAGATTGCTGGTCTTGATAATCCGGGGCAACCTCTTGGTGTTTACCCCACCTCTGCTTTAACTCCTTGCAATAATGACAAAGTAAAACCCCTTATTCCTCTTCATAAACGTGGCCGTCCACCAAAGGTCCCACAGACTCCTGGTTTCTCGTCAGGATGCCGTCGGAACCAGAGGGGGAAGATTTAACGAATGGTAATATTTATTATTTATTTATTGAAATGATTTAACCATTCATCCCAGCGTGTTAAAAATTGTAATTCTTTATTTCTCTCGTGCTTTTATTTCATTGCGTTTGTATTTATAAAAAAAGTTAACTGCAATTATAATTATGGACCTTTCGATGGCAATATATAAGGAGAGAAAATATTCAGTTTGAAAAGTAAAGTCTTGAGTTGTATGTGGCAAGAGTTGTTGACATTTTTATTTTCGTGTTAAAAGTTAGTTTAAGGTGATGATTTAGTCAAGCCAGTCTTCATAAAGGTTTGGCGTAACCAAGTGTTTATAAAAATTGTTCTATATACGAACCAGAGGGCTATTGGCGGTGTACCTCATAATTCTGACAAATGACGAGGACGACACATGAGCTGGAACACACCACGCTTATTTCATTCATTTATTTTTGAAAATCGATTTCTGTTCTTTAAAAAGCTTAGATATATTAAATTCCAAATCCTTCGATGTTCAGATTATAAACATAAAATCTGAACTTCAGAAAGCCGCAACCAAAATTATAAAGTAAAATTATTGAAGATGTAAGTGATACGAAGATACATTTTTCTCTTTCAGTTGGTCGAAATGTGTTACAACAGTTCAACAAGAATTTTTGCTCAAATTTGTGTTTTTAATAAATCATCAAAAAGAAGAAATTCGAACATTTTCTCCCACGAATACTATGAAATAAAAAATGGACCACCGCACATTATTGGTGACAGATCTCACAATTTTGAAGCACGGCCAAGTGACGAGGATGGTACCTGAAAAGGAGAACAACACTCAGCGACCTTAAGCCTCGACAGATTTTTCACGCACCAGCCCATCCACACTCTAAGCTTTGAATGCTATCAGAATCTGAACCCATAGCTGAACCCTCAAAAACAATACCATAAAGGAGTTCCCGACTATGATATTGGCTCCCACGGCTAGCATAGCTACTTAATATTTGGAAATAATGCCATAAAGAGCATTTAAAAATACTACGCAACAAATATACTATACATTAAA